TTCGGATGTTAATCATATCATCGGACTCCAATGGTAAATGCCTGCATTTTATAAATCATGCCCTGTCGATAATTTATTATTTATACTTATAATTTTATAATACAAATGCAACTGTAGAGGAGAACTATGACAAAATGAATGTTTAAAGATTCAAATGTACGAACATTGAATTGTTTTGTTTGTAATCAAGCCAACAAGCCTAGCGGAACAACTTTCTTTCATCAGTTAATAGACAACCTTCTAAACGACATCGATGATCTACAAGGTAGTAATGTTAGTTGACTTGCAATTAATATTATTGTTATTATAATCGGAATTGTTTTTTAGTCCCAAATCAGGGAGTAAATATGGTTTGGGAGGAGTTGCAAGCGTTATTGAAGTAGAATCGACTCGATCTCCAATAGCAAGCACCATATTCAAAAGCTAGTACTCCTAACAATTCTCTTTTAATGGGCTAGTTCATTTCACCGACAATCATTTCAATCATTTCGCTGATATCCTTCTTAATCCGCTAACCCTATCCTAACCCTAAAGGACATTTATGGCGCGCAGAAGAATTTATTTGAGGGTCAAAACTCGAAATCAACACATAAAACTTTGCCACACTGAATGTGCCACCGGCAAAAATTGTCCGAGATTGTAGCAAAATTTGCGTACTAATAAATCTATTCTTGATGATTATTTGATATCGGATAAAGCTGCTGAAGATTCAGCCATATATACATTTCAATTTGCCGGTAAGATGTTCTTATATATGTAATACTGAATATTGTAATATTGTTTATTGATGCCTAACGATGCCTAACATTTACCACCGCGTTAGGTTTACATGGTCAACTTATTGCTGACGATGGTCTGTATTTTAGTTTGGATGGATCTACATTTAAGTTTCCCTTCCGACTATTAAATATCAAAACTATGCGCCAAACATTGGGAATATTATACTTCTTTAAGGTTCGAAACTAATATCTTTTATATTTTTTTTTTTTTTTTTGACAAGTAGTCTCTTATCTTGCTTCTATCATTATAGAAAAATATTATGCAAAAGTCTTCCGCGCTATCACGATATGACGTAGAGAAAAACCCGTATCAAAAAGTTTTCCATAGTAGAGTATTACTATGTACGGATATTATAACAGAATTTAATAGAGTAATAGAGTAGAATAATTTTTTGAATAATCACTTTCAAATTTCAAATTAGATAATTTAAAAAAATTTTTTAATGTAATTTATTTTTGCTAAAAATGATATAATGATATACCATTAATAATATACGTGTTACATTCATGCAACAATATACTAGCTGTACTCACAATATACGCCCATCAAAACATAAAAAGTTCAAATTTATTATATCACATATTTTACAGAATAAAGATGTTGGAAAATGAGATTTTATAAGAAATTACTATTTAAGTATTAATATGGAAAACTAACTTAGCATTTGTGTAAAGTATTCTGCTTTGTAAGTTTATTGCATGTAATTTCTATTCAAAGTCAAAAGCATAAAAGACGATTAATAAAACGCTAGCATTTAGTTGTACTGTTTTGCTTGGATATACCGTTATGAGTGAATTAAAATCATGCATATATTGCATATATTGCATTTTAATCTTATAAAAAACCTTAGTTTTGTATACAAAGCTATCATTTTTTGTAGGCGAAGTGTGTAAATCTTGTAATGCTTTTGACTTCACTATCATCATGGTTCTGCCATGATGATTAATGATATCTACGGTTTTCTACGAAATAACTATTATGAATCTGATTTATTTAGGAATCTTGATATTAAGCAGGCTTTGCCATTGAAATCGGGATAGGTGTTGACAATGGTGTAATTCCACATTTCCATATGCTGAGTTATTTAAACAATTAGGTAAGTATAACGTGGAATATAAACAATTAGGAGCGAAAATAGAAAAGAAAAAATGTTAACGAATCTGAAGTTTAAATTATTATATAAAAGAGAAAAAATGCAAGATTTTATATTTTAGATTGAATATCATCAAAATGATTTTAACAAACTCTTCGAATGGATTAAGAGTTGGAAGTAAAGGTAAATCATACATGCCTAATCACATCATTTTTTTTTTATTTATGTAGTACTTAATCTGTGATAATTTTCTGAAAAATTTATGTATAGCTAATGACAATTTATACTTATACACAAAGTAGAATCATATGTATAATAGTTATTTAGCAAATAAGAGGATCATTTTCAGCACTTTTTAGACACTTTCTCGTTACTCTCAGAATATAAAATCATAAATCAATCTATATTACACATGAATATAAATTAGCATATAACTCCATATAAATCTTCCAGTCTGCTTCCTCTCATTGAGTCGATTAAGACGAACTCGATATTATAAATTTTATTAAATTTGGATTATTAGTTAGCTAAAAAACAGGGGGGGTATGTATTGTAGTTTAAAATTTTTGAAAAATACCTTATTATACTAAAATGGTGAAGCTTCAACTGAGTAAAAGAATAAAATCTGGAATAACTTAATGCATTTTAAAAAAAGAAATCTTTATATTTATTCTGAAAAAAAAAAAAATAACTGTTGATAGAAATAAAATGTAAAATGGATATCTGTTTTATACAATCAACTTGTATATTTTTGGAATAAGAATTGATAAAAGTAAAAGATATATATATATATATGATGAATTGAAGAGTAAGTTTAATTTAGACATATTTCCTTTAATAAAGCATATTGGATCGGAATATGCATTAATATTAAATTATAGCTTGTATCAAAAATAAGTTTGTTTTGAAAATTATATGGAAACAAAACAGCCAATCTTTTCCAATAAGTAGATGAAATTCTATTATTGGTATTTTGCGGAGAGGTTTCAAATCCATTTGGTAAATTTTGATATAAGGAACCATATAATAACGTATGTAATTATAAATATATTAAAAATAAATTCAGTATTTTCGCAGAAAACAAACTACATAGTTATATTTTATAGTTGAAAAATGTTATTAGAAGCAGCAGGCAGAAATATACCTTTTTATATACTTCAAGGATAAAAGGAATTTCAGAACAATAGCTAAAAGATGCATCTATTATACATAAATAGGTAAGATTGGATTAATACAATAATTATATTCAAACTATTTGATACAACATTATCGCAGTATTATTATAGAATCGTTTTATAATATATTTTTTGCATGTAAACTTTTTTATGCAAAAATTATATCTAATAAAATATTCCATTTTGACTACAAACATATTATCAAAAAATTCCATTCCATTAAAATTAATTTCTGAAAAATCTGATTCAACTGATTTATATTTATGCCATACATTAGAAGTTTGTAAAAAACATGAATGTAGAATAAACATGTGTTAAAAAATTGGTTATAATAATGAAAAAACGGTGTAATCTCTGTAATCAAAGCGAAATACGCCGTATTCCATACATGAGTCAAGAAAAATCATAAATTATAAATGAAGTACGCCTTTTTTTATATAATGTCATCGCAATTTTTGAAGTAATTTTTTTTTAATTTTTCACTGTTCCCTTTTCCCCCTTGCTTTTGATTACAGCACATTCAAAAATGGCGATTCTATTACTATGGGAAAATCTATTTTCAAATCCTTCTAAAAATAATCGTTTTCTTGAAATTTATTTACATGATTTAAATTATAACCGAATATGAAATGAATAATAAATTGTTTCCTTCAAATACATTATTCAATTATCCTTGTTAAATATAGATGAAATAGGACATTCTATTGAAAAGTGGGTGTAAAAAATACTTTTAATATTATTGAGCTAAGTTTATGATTTATCAAATTCTAAGAAAGATAATTAATAAATTAAATGGCAAATAAATAATTTTATAAATTGTTGTACAATTAGAATAATTAGAATATAAAAATTTTATGAATTTGTATTACATTTGAAACCCTTTAAGTTATAAATTTTTAACATTTAAATAACCATGATTATTAAAAGAATTAGGACAAATTCTCCCTTTTTAAATTAGAATTATATCTTATATTTAATAAGAATGATTTTGAAATATTTTTATGCAATTTTGATGATATATTATCTTATGTAGAGGAACATATTATGAGAAAGAAAAGGGACCTTTAGTCAACTGGGAAAAGTATTAATGAAAGGTAAAGTAAAAAAAAAATTTGAATTATATGATGTTGAAGTACAAAATCATTATAATATAGAGATTTTAATTACCAAAGTAGTAATATATCAAAGAAGTAGTAAATTTAATATTATTATGTAGGATATATTTTGTATTATAATAAATTATATTTACAACAATATTTAAAATCATTATTATTCATAAAAGGATTAAAGTTCAAATACTCTAAAACATTAGTTCTAAAGAAATTAATCATTAAGAACAATATCATTATGTTATAGAAATTTTAGGTGATTGATGACATTACTAAAGAAATCCTAAAGAACGTCTCAAACCTTTGAATCGAAATAAAATTTTCAAAAGTCTGGCTAAAAAAACTCAGTTCTGCTTTATTATAAGTTTCGAATCATCATATCTAAAACGTTAATTTCGTTAATCGCAAATTGCGATTTTTAATATTTATTAATTATTCCGCATAAATCGAGTAATTTATCATTACATAAATTTTAATACTTACACTGACGTATTGTATAACATTCTTACTTCTAAATAAGATTAAGAGCTACTTTTAATATTTCACAATAATGAATTTATATTTTTAATAAATAATTAATCTACGAAATTTGATGCTTCCCTCCAAAAAAAGAGTAATGTGAATGCCTGGTGTACCATTGCATTAGTACTCCGTGACCTAAGTTTTTGGTGTCTGGTATGCAGAACACTATTTTCTTAACATACTTTATAATAATCAAATTACTTTTAGTATGAATGGTGCAATAAGTTTATATTAACAGATAAATTCAAGACAAACTAAATACCATGGTCGGGATCTTTATTTAGAATACACTAATAAAAATTCTCACTTGTGCTATTTATTTATTAAAATAGGCTATTGACTGTAAAAATTATTGTCACATTTAATAATTTATAAAAACACAAATATGAGAGAAACAAAGAGAAAAAAAAATCAAATATAAAAATTCTTTAATATCCCATATAATATTTCTATGAAAGAAAGAAATATATATATATTAATAAAATTTCATAGAAAGCTTAATATTTTTGTAAATAAATATAACAAAATAACTTAACAATACGAAATTACTATTACATACCAATTCAAAATATTGATTTAAGAAAGCTTTTTGTAAAGGGTTCTGTACTATCTTCAACTATAAATAGATCCTTTGCTTCTTCTAATATTTGTGTTGTAAGTTGGGGTTGATAAAAATATAAAACATTCTTATCATTCATATACCTAAGTTTCTTTAAGGAATTTTTTCGACTGGCATATTCCATAATAACTTTTAGAATAGCATCATTAATACGCGCAAATATGCTAATTTCTTTGAAATTACAATGCACATTCTCTAACAAAACTTTTAACTTCTCTGCTACTACAAGGTAATCCATCTCCAAGATTTTTAAAGATTGAGAAAATGAATGTGCTAATTCTGTAACAGCATCATCTTTAAGAGAATTGCTACAACTCAATTTTAAATGAACAAGATGCTTCAAACTTTTCATAAATGAAACAGTACATGAAAATTCTCTTCCAGCTGTTACTATTATAAATAAATGAGTGAGATTCGCACAGAATGGTTGAATTGATGACGTGACATTATGATTAGTAAAGGGATTATAAATATCTTGTCTACCATAAAAAAGGGTTTTGAGACCATTATTTGACATTAAAACAATTCTTTCAAAAAGTTTAAGAACAGAAGAATGAGATATTCTAACATAAAGGTTCTTGAGATGAATTAAATTTGATGAAATGGGTTTATCAAAAATTGAAATTAAATCAACATCATTAATACCATTAAAATAAAAACTTGTAAGTTCAATCGTTCTCAAATTTGGGCAACGATCTATAATATTAAGAACAGTAGAACAACTAAATATGTCATGTAATTTTAAATAAACCAAAGAGTGTGAATGCTTTATAAATAAATTTGCAAAATCAACGTTTTTTGAAAAACAATGAGTTTCTAATGATTTCAAATTATTTAATGAAAGAATAAAAGTTTTCAAAATTTCTAATAATTTATCATATTCTGTTCTAATCTTTATTAACTTTTTCGTTCCATTCCTATGTTCTCTAGTATGTAATACTGTGAATGAGAACCTAACATGTTGAATATCTTTGTTGTGATTAGAGATTATGTTAGCGAGTATTGACGCATTCCTTTGAACAAATTTTAAAAATTCCATCTTCTTAGTATCAAATTTAAAATTAAATCCAAAAGAGAATTTTTTGATATTTGAAAGAACTTGCTCAAGAACCTCATTATTAAATGAACTCATGTCTATTTGATTTCTTTCAACGCTTATTTGATGATCATTCAAATCAACATTTACATACTTGAAATTACTTTGGTCATTGAATAACAACTTTTCAATAAAAGGATTAAGAATACGAACAATACTATTAATTCTGTTCTCTGTAGGTGTAGCTGAATAGTATTGGCGAAGAAAAACCCTCATTGATGCTTGTATATCATTTATTTCAAATTCTTGAAGGAAACTTGGGTAATTAATAAAAGGTTTTGGAAAATACGAAACAGACTTTTTAAGAAAAGGTGTTATTTGTTCTTTCTCTTTATCATCAAGGCAAGAAAAATATGTTTGAAAGATAAGACTCCTTTTGACTTCATCTTGAACGTACTTAAATGGATTACTCCAAAGTATCCGGATAGAGATTTGGCAGAAAGTTTGATTTAAAGCAATACATGAATGTAAAGTTTTCATATCATGAACAAAATATTGAATAATCTCATATATACAATCAGCTGGTAAAGTTACTGGAACATTTCCTTGAGCAACGTTATTATCTTTATTCATGATTTTTTTTTTTTTTTAAGAAAAAATAAAAGGGGAAGACTTTTTTTCAAATTTTTTTTCGTTCATTCATATTTATGGCGCAAGATCCTTACACAAGCTCCGATCCTTATTTAATCAAGATGCAAATGTCGCACAAAAAAAATATACGGGATATTATTAAATTTCAAAGGTTTTTGTATTAATTTGATCTTCTCGATTGATTCCCTGTTGAGTCGATGATCATCCTGAAATTTACGAGTTATGGATTAATCGGAATCCGGAAATTAATTTAAAATGTTCGAAATAATATCATAGCATTTTGGGCATTACCATAATCCAATTAATCTATATACTTATGACACTTTTCAAACCAGATACATACTTTTTTTACCAAATATAGAGTAATTTTTTAATAGATGATTCATGATTGACGTATTTGTTAACAGTAACATTTAATTATTTTTATTGGATGATCCTACAAGAAGAATTACTCTTTATTTATGGAATTTATGCATGGAACCTTATTATTATCCATTGTAGATATAAACTTTGTAATAGAATTAATTAGACCGACAAATATTGGGTTTTCATTACGGGCCAAAAAACGTATTTCCCGCAGTATTTATGGAATGATTATTAGTCAACTCTCTATAAATGCACCCCTTGGGACTGGATAAAAGCGTGCGATTACAAACGGTGTGCATTTATAAAGAGTAAATAATTAGAGGTCATATATACTTGGGACTGAATCAAAGTGTGCATTTAAGAAGGGAATGCACTTATAAGTAGTGCATTTATAGAGAGTTGACTGTATTATTAAATTTTGCACTAGATATTACGTTATGTAATACTTCATGCTAGAGTTTACCCTCTATTATAATAATTTTTTGTATAATTTTTATAAGGATGATGCTCTTAGAATCTTGTAAGCTCTACAAGAAAAATAACAAGCTAGATAAAATGGATAAATTGAGATTTAAGACTTAACAAAAGTTAGCTGCAGGAAAACGAAAATAGGTAATTTTGCTATGGAGTATAGATCAAATATACATGAGAATATTAACGAACCCAACCAACTTTACATCTAAGTTATAGCTCTTTTTGTTGTTCGATTAAAGAATTTTAAAATCTACAGAAACTTAGTCTTTTACTAGAGATTGACATTATGAAAAAAGCTTTGATTTATCCAATTAGTAACTATAAGAATCTGACTATCAACGTTCTTTTTATATTTGATATGGTTTTCTACGCAATTGCATATTAACCATTAATTATCGTGTAGTCTTATTAGTAAGTACTTTTATATAAAATAATATTTTCTTCTGCCTAAATTAAAAATTTCATTCACAAATGTTCGAATTATTCCAGTTCGGCCAGAATTAGCATGGCCAGATTTAGGCTGAATTAGAACCTAAAGCTGGCCGGTCTTTAAAAAATTCAACCACCAATTAACAGGATTTTTTAACCAATTTTAATTTTTATTTATTTATTATTTGTTTTATTTCAGATTTTCTATTGAATTAATTTTATTGATCACAAAATTATTATTGGAAGACCTAAAGAAAGAATATGAAGAAAATAACTTTTTCTTACGAAGTGCCTTAGGGCCTAGCATTTACAAGAAAAAAAATTCTCACGTCGTTGAACATGTGGGACTATGGGTTATGGGATACTCTTTTTTTTTTATTTTTAAAGTTGATACGCAGGTACCAAGTCCGGATTTTTTTTCTTTCAGAAATGGAGGGTATGATCATGATATCATTTTCACAATAATTCTCGAAAATAAGGCACGTGACGATGACTTTCACACGTCATTGACTACAATCATTACACGAAACCTTGACGATCAAACTGCTGTCTGAAAAAGATTTTTATTGCGTTGTTGTTTAGCTTGAGACGGACTGTGAACAGCGAGCATGCGATCCTCGAAATTCATACTTGCCATGTAATATAAGACACCTGCTTTGGAAAATCTGGCTGTGGTATTCAATTTTTGATAGGGAAAGATATTTCACCTAGAAACAATGAAACGATCCCTCATTTCAAGAGATGTCGCAACTGTTAGTATCAAAAACCAACCCTTAAATTTACTTTATTCATTGAAAGCCATCAAAACTATTCAACGAGTGGACCTTTTCGAAAGCGTGTAAGCTCTATGAGCTTAGCGATGACTCGAAACCTAGCATTGATGTATATGAAGCGTTGTGTAAACTTTTAGACAAAATGGAAACGTGTACTGTGTGCAAGCCGACAATCGTATCCTATGAGGCCACGAAAACATCTATTCCTACACTTATTTCGCCTCACTAATTTTCCTGTTTAAATTGAGAAGAACGGACGCGAAAATCTTTTGACTATGAAATTGAATTACGTATAACCGGGAGGGAGAATGGTGGGGAGTAAAAGTCATACCTACTTGTATCCTTGGTGGCTTGGTACTCCCAACCTATTGTGATACAAAATGAAAATATGAAAGAAAAGGCGGAAAAGGTCCTTGTACATATTATGGTTGTTGAGGTGGAGGTTTCTAGGGAAATAAGAAAGGTGGGTCATCGGGTAGTCTTATGATTGAAATAGATGGGCCTTAGGATGGTTTGAAGTGGTTATCTCAATCACTCATTCATGTAGTTTGTTTTACGTGTATAGAAACGTCATGTACTACGCGCTATTCTTGGATTTTTGTATTTTCTACATCAATGCTATAACGTAATAAAATTTTTTTTTACAAGACGCTGATCGTAACAAAATGGCATAGTTTTTCATAACATAAAATCAATTGAGGTGAACGTTAAATTTAGCAGCACATGATCCTCATCCACAGGATGATATTTTTTCGGAAAGTTCTAGCATAGTATTAATTATCTAGCCTTATTGATCTCAAATTTTTTTATTGTAATTAAGGTCTGTTGGTCAGGTTTTCGTGATGCGATCATATTTTCCGAAGATTGATTTCAAAATCGATCTTTAGACCACTGCAAAAGATGAGGCTCTGGTTAGTAAATCCTTTTATCTGCCTTGCGTAAGTAATGCGAAATAAAGAAGAATAAAAGAAAAGTATGTTAATAACACTTAGATTTGATTCATCATCATGATTCTAGTCATTTTTTCTGCTTTATTACAATTCTTGATCTTTTTAGCATATTTGACAAAGAAATCGTGGTAGTTGGCACGTGTTTTGTGGGCACAGTTCACAGTTCTCATATATCGCAAATTTAAAAGCCTGGCAATATCGTTATGACAAACTCTATCAAAAGCATTCACTGTGAATGTGAAGCGGAATATGAAAATGAAATATAAAGGTTAGAGTGGATTGAAAGTAATTTTTTACTTTTTATCTGCTAGCAATAGACATCATTTCAGAATGTATGTGTGGGAATTAGTCAAAAAAAAAATTATGTCATTTGGAGTAATGTGGCGAAAATTTAACTTCTGAAATCATAGAAGCAAAGTATATACGATGAAAAATTAGCATTAGACAGTATGGAGTAGCGGGAAAGAACTCCCATTTTATGGGTTAGGGCTTGAGATCTATTTTTTACGTATAATTATATAATTATTTCAACTAAAATAAAAGATTTTTGCTTTATTATTTCTGATAGAACGTGTAACTAGTTGCTCTCAAATTATAATTATATAAATTACATTAGAAAATTGCATCAAATAGGCATAATAATTCTCATTATAACTACGATACGATATTTAATCAACGACTGTTATTTCTGTATCTTCTTCTCCCCCATTTTTGATACTTCCTCTTTATCTCCTCTAGTAACAAATCTCCGTATACTTCCGTATACTCCCATAAAATCCAGAAGCAGATCAGAACGGTTTAAAGAGAATTTCAAGAAAAGAACGGTTTACAGTAATCACCACAAGTCATTCACAACTATTTATAGCCTTCAATGTAAACTCTGTTTTATGGACGGAAAAATCTGATTCAACAGCAGATCGGCTCTTTTGCATGTAGTGTTAGAAAGTCAGTTGTCCCACTACCTCTACGAATCAACACAGTACTCCCTATTGTGCAATACTTCATCTTTTGCTAAGATATAGAAAGAGGTTCTTCTAAGAATCAATAGTGGAAAGTTAGGGTCCATGTATTAATATTTAAAACTAGGAGTAATATTTTATCTTTTGCTAAGATATAGAAAGAGGTTCTTCTAAGAATCAATAGTGGAAAGTTAGGGTCCATGTATTAATATTTAAAACTAGGAGTAATATTTAACGTATTTTCCCCACCTATTTGTTTCACTTTTTTTATTGTCAAGTTTCTTGTTTTAATCTTCCGATTAATTAAATAAATAATGAGATAGTAATGAGATACCGTATTTGGCAATACAATTTCTTTTCCTAAAATTCTTCAATTATATACTACGATATGTCTTTTTTCAGTTGGTACAAAATCATTTATTCCGAAGACCAATGATAATACAAACCATTACTGGAAAATTGAAAAAATGTTTGTTTGCTTAATGAAATACATAATAAAAATTTTCATATTTTAAATAATAATGCTTACAGCTATACATAAACCAAATTCTCAAAGTCTTAAAGTTCTATAAAAATTATGAGATTTTAACCCTCTTTGTTCAACAAATTGTTGTGCTATAATATCTCCTGTAACAAATAATGTTCCTGAATAAATTCAAATTTATAATATTAAATTTCTAAAAATTTTGTAATAAATTAAAAAAGAGTCCATCCACCGATCCACGGCTATCTGGTATCGTTCTTTAGACCGGTTTGTTACAATTAAAAATCCCATGTTAGGTAATTATATCCCTTGATGTCCCGCCAAAATTTTAATGTCCCGGACATTGTCCGTCCACACGTCCCGTCCAAAAATTGTCCAAGTTTACAATTTGTCTTATCAAGACAACACCTAATGGGCTATAATTTATATTTAAGATCACGTGATTTTAATGCCGGACATCTTTGGACGTGTCCTAGACTGTCCCGTCCCTATGACAACACTGCCTTGCATTAAAAGATTAATTAATTCATTTATTTATTTTTCTTTTTCAATAAAGGACTATTAACGCGTGTCACTTTAGATCCCATGTTTTATTACAACATTTTTCGTAGGTCGGGCACTATTAGAAGGTCAACAAATTTTAGAAAAGCTTGGAGATGTAAAAGATGTAAATATAAATTCCTCTCAGAATATTTATCTTAAAGATATTGTTTACTTAACATTAATATTTTTTACCTTCTAATATACACAGGCTTTTGTACCTACTTTAATTAATAATTATAAATTGTACAATTGCTCAATTTTCATTTTATTCCATTGAATTATTTTAGTTGTTAATTGTGTTGCACTTGGCTGGAATACTTATTTATTTGTTATCAATAAGAAAGTTCCGACAAAGTGAGTGTTAAATAGGAAACGAAATAAATGGAATTGACTACTAGTGATAGAAAAAATTTTGTTATAAATAAAATTATTAAAACTTTCGTTGACGGTCTAGTAAAATGACTGATGAGATTTCTTCGAGCGTATTTATTATATATTTTTGAAATAATATCAACAAGATGATAACTAAAAAAGAATCAATGGTCAATATTTATTTTGATTAACAACATCAGATACTAACATCTACTTACAAATCAAGAAGAACTTTTTCACAATACAACCTAAATGGTTCATTCAGAACTTCAACCTGAATTGCAGTTTTGAATTTTTTTCAGTTTCTTTAGAGACCGGTTCTTCTTTGATATGGAATTGTTTATTCCGCTGTTGATCTCGTTGATATTCCCACTTTCCTTTTATCAGATTGAATAAAATGTTTTGAAATTAATAATACTCTTCAGCCCTCATTTCTGATTTTCATTCGATTTCTGATCCCATCAGAACATCAGACAAGCTAGGAGGTCATCTGTGCCCCATTACTGTTCGATGGCTCTAAGAGTTTTGAATGACGAACAATCTAGGAGATTTTCGTTCGCCACGCCACATATTCAAAAGTTTTTTACTTTCTTATAATCATCGTATAGCAACTTTGCTTCATCACCCCTTTTTCCTTGTTCACTATTCATAATTGCCTCTAGAGATTTAAGATATGCATCTATTTTAAGCTTGAAAGGCTCCTCAGTAGATTAGTTTAAAAAATATAAAATGCCTCAGTATGCAGAATTTCGCTTGAAGTAAACGTGAAGTTACATTTTTCCTTCTACAAATATATTCCCTGAAGTATAACTGTGAATCCGTTTAAATAGACTTTTTTGTTGGTCAAACATGACGAACTTTCCATTAACGTCATTGAAAATGGGAATTGGAATCAAACCGTAACAAATGAACGACTGTGAGAAGATATTATTAAGTTTTTTGAGGGGGGGATACTGAAAACTTATAATAAAATAGACGCGAGTAATTTAAGTAATTTAGTAAAAAGATCAAAAAAATCACGAGTAAATCATATGATTTTCGAGTAAATTCGAGTCACGTGGTTGGCGCAGCGTACTGCGTATATATCGCAAGTTCGCAACACTGAATTCAAATATAATGAATCTAGAATTTTATGGGTTTGCATTGTATCCTTAGTTAACAAATTTATATCATGGACATTCGAATCTCAGTATATTTGAATATCATGACAGATTCGAATCTCAAAATTCTATATTCGAATATCTAAATTTACATGTTTTATAACGAACGTTCGAATATCCTAATTTCAAACGGAAGCATACGCAGCGATGTGCACTGGAAGTTACCATTTGGACTTCGAATCTCAATAATATTTCTAATTCTGACAAAAGTCATTGGGAAACTTCCAATGTATATCACTTCCTATACGTACTGTACGTATAGTCAAGGTATTAACACGAAGAAGCTAAGAAAGCGCGTTCCTTGTTTACTTTTCTTAGTTCTCAAATTCTGCTAAAGTTTTTAGTTTAACCAAATAAAATAAATAATTTATTCCAATAAAATATCTAAACGTATGTTTCTAAACAATAAGTAATTGCAGAATAACAAATTTATCGGCTTTATTGAGATTAGTAAGATTTTCGCAGTTCAAATTCAAAAAAGCGAATTGAATGTTCCTCTTTTTGTGCTTATTTCTTATAATTAAACGAAGATTCACTTCTCGACATATTTTGTCTCGATTATTAAACTAATTAATTTTAGAGATTTTACGATACGATGCGAACAATGATGATGTTATTAAACTAATTTTCGGGGGTGACGAAAACAAGTACAGTATGGAATCCTATGTATGTATGTATGGTGACCTATGTATGGATGTATGGTGGCCTATGTATAGTATATTACTATTGTGATAACTATACCGTATGAAAATTAACACCATACATACCATACATTGACCACCATACATACATACATAGGATTCCATACTGTACTTGTTTTCTATATAATCCTAATTTTCGTAAGTAGATTCGAAAATATTTACGTATTACTATGTATGGTAAATGATGAACTTATTATATAGATTAGATTATCTTTTTTAGTAGGTGTTACCACATTGTGATAAATGCTACAAAGTTAATTGAGAATTTAGCATATAAACAAAATTTTCTTTTTTTTTCTCATAATTTTTTATCTAATTTTTTACAATTATGAACGAAACTGCTGCACCTAAAAAGAAAACATTGAAAGTAGTTGAAGATGGCGCGGAACAAGTAGAAGCCGCGACAAATGTAGCAGTACCATTTGCAAATTTTTTACCATTTATAGAAGAGGTGTCCAGGTTACTTAAAGAAATCGTAGATATATATCAAACAGCAGTAATTAATAAAGGAATATGTGGTGTAATGTTAGATAGAGTAGCCATAGCTGAATCAGCTACAAAAAAATTCTTAAAAGTCCGAGAGAATGAAGAATTTTTTTCAGCAGAAAATTATGTTAATTTACAAAAATTAGTTACCGTAGTTGGTAAAATACGTAAATTTCTAGCAGAAATTTCTCAAGTTAGGGGATTAAAAAAACATACGCAAGCTAAAAATATTGAAAAGACTGCAATGGATTTAAATAAAGAATTTGATTCTACCATTCAACTTTTGGAATTTGCTTTCATGGTTGATTTCAGTTTACGTGATGATATTGATAATAAAAAGATCAGAGCTGATATCGAAGATTTAATTGAGGTAATGTGTTTGATATAAATAATTGACATTTTAATTTTTAATACGCATGAGATAAATATAGTAAATTTAATAAATATTCATAATAGAATCTTCAAGCAATCGGAGGTGGTGGTGGTAGATTTGATCCGAATAAAAATGTCTCCACAATAATGGATAAATCCGAAACTAACATATTTCAAAGTGAATTACTTCCATATAATGATTTTGAAGAAGTTGAAGTTGGAGAAAATGTTGGTAAAAAAATAAAAAAATATAAAAGAATAAAAAATGGGGTTAATGATTTCGTTGTATTAAAATTAGTAGCAGATGAAAGTATTAAGGAAGAGGCTAAGAATAATATTAAAAATCAAGTTACAATTTTAAGTAAATTAGAAGAATGTGATAATATTATTCAATTTTTTGGTTTAACTACTATTGATGGTAATAAATGGTTTTTAGTAACTGAATGGGCTGAATATGGTAATTTACGCGAATTTTATAATACTTTTGGACCACTTGATGTTAAGGCGAAAGTACTATTTGCTATTGATATTTCTAGAGGTTTAAGTTTCTTGAATGCTGTTGAGGTAATTATCTTTGATGAGGGTTTCTTGTTTTAAAATTATATTTATATACGTTTATATATTTAACCATTTCTTGATTTCCTATAAATAGATTGTTCATTGTGATATAAGAGCCGAGAATATTTTAATTACAGATTATCAAACGGCCAAGATCGCAAATTTTAGTTCAAGTAAAGCCGTAACTGATGTTACAAAAAACCACAAAACAACACTAGAACGTGTTCGATATTGTGCTCCAGAAAATTCAGAAAAATTAGGAACACAAACTAAATATAATACAAAGAGTGAAATTTATAGTTTTGGTATCTTACTTTGGGAAATCGCCGAAGAAAAAGTTCCTTATGCGAATTATAACGATATTATGGCTATTACTGAACTTGTTGGTGAAAAAAAATACCGTGAACCATTTTCTGATGCTTCTCCTTTACCAAAAGAATATCAAGATATTGCAAAAAAAGGTGTATTCATCAAAATTTTCACTTATCTTTTTATTTATAATATTAACTTTTGTAAATATCTATCTATATTTTAGCTGTTGATCATGATCCAAATTATAGGCCTTCATTTACAAAGATATTTACCGTATTACAAGATCTATATATGAAAACTTCTTCTAATTCTATTGGTTCTTCTAGTCCTATTGGTTCTGTAAGACGACAAAGAATCTTGTTGAAAGATTTCATTAATTCTCTTTCTTTAAAGAGTATTACTTACTTACTATATATTTATTTAAAAATCAGGAATGGATCAAAAAGAAAATGGAGGAAGAAGATATTAATTACTTTGAATATAATGAATTTAGCAAACCTATTCCAATTGGTAAAGGAGGATTTGGCTTTGTGCATAAAGCGGAAACTAATGATAAAAAACAAGTTGCATTGAAAGGTCTCATAGATTCAGTAATCGATGAAAATGTTATTAAAAACTTCGTAAAAGAGGTAAGAATCGTATTTAAATCCATCATAATGTATAAGTAGCTTGTAATAAAAACTATTCTTTTAGTTAAAACTTCTTCGTATGGTCAGCTATCATGACAATATTAATAGATTTCTTGGAATAACAAAAGGTAGTCTAATTTATTGAATTCATTCTTATAAATTTAATTAATTATATTTTAAATTAAATGGGCAGATAATATTGGTTATGTTATGGTATTGGAATACGCTAATGAAGGAAATTTAAGAGAATATTTAGAAAAAAAATTTGATTCATTACAATGGGAGAATAAGATTCAAATGGCATTAGATATTACACGCGGATTATTATGTTTACACTCGAGGAACATAATTCATAGAGATTTGGTAAATCAATAATTTATAATTTATTTATTTTTATTACATTTTTCTTAAATAATAATTTTTAGTAACGTTTACAATTATTCTTTAGCACTCAAAAAATATATTAGTGAATGACGGTAAATTATTAATTGCAGACTTTGGATTATCTAAACAATTAACGGAAGTTACATCTAATTCAACAAGTAACAGGATGGGAATTATTGAATATGTTGAACCACAATGTATAAGGAATGTAAATTATGTAAAAGATAAAAGGTCTGATGTTTATAGCTTAGGTGTTTTATTATGGGAGATTACAAGTGGTCGACCTCCTTTTTGTCATATGGTAGAACGAGATATGTTAGGTTATCACATTAGTCGTGAGAATCTTAGAGAAGAACCAATTGAAGGTACGCCTTTAGAGTATCAACAACTTTATCAAAAATGTTGGGATGGAGATCCGGAGAAAAGACCCGATATTAATCAAATATATAAAGAAATTTTAAGTCAATCCAATGTCAATGATATTAGCGAACAATCCGAAGATTCATTAGTAAATAATGATAGTCTTGATAATTTAAACATACAATCAGCCCAATCAGATCTATGCATAAAAACCGAATTGGTATTATAAATAGGTTATATAAATGAGATGAGATTTAATCAAAAGATATTATCTTCGCTTTTATCAAAAGATATATATCTTTTGTATTTTTCCATACAGAGTCCCAATATTTATTAACATCAATCAAATGATTCAATCAGCTATATTGTTATGGTTTCCATAAACTTGCTGGATTCAAAGTTAGCTACATAATAATTAAAGACCATTTGATGCTTGTTTATCTTTCCTGAACGTGAGATGTAATCTTCAGTTGTTAACTCACACTTCAATTCTGCTATTTGCCTTCTATGTTAAGATTTGGTGTTTCTTTTTGGCCATCACTTGAATATCTACTAAGGAATACTAATGAATCATGTACTGTACAGTGCAATAAGTATAGCACCTAGAAATTTCCTATTATAATATGTTTTCAAACATCCTCTTTAAAAATCTTATTAAATTTTTATTAATCAGAGTATTGAAAGCAACAGCATACATCATAAGACTCATAATAAAAATTTTATTAAATGATGCATATATAAAAAGCACGAATTAACGTGCCTACTACTACTACATTTGTTAAGCATAGACACGAAACACATCATATGATTTGTACACTATTTGTACTGAATGTACATTTATTTCCAGAATATCCTTGGAACATTCAGGTATTAAGTAAATTAGGACATGCCAAAAAACTTGATATAGTACGTACGTTTGTTAAAATCTAAATTTTTTACACTAGTATGTACGATTATTTAAAATATTTCTGTACGTATTTGTTTTTTTAAACATGAAATAGAAACAATAGAACCATTTAATATTTAAATTATTTAGCTCCACAATAATTACAGGAATATTCAGTATTTACGAAGCAAAGTTTGCATTACAAATTACAAAATACCTGGATATATTAAAATAAAATACCTATTTTGCAATTCCAGTTCAATACTTAATGTAAATTTGAATTTCCAAATTTTCAACTTGAATTACTTGAATTTCATTTTTAATATATTACAAATATCATGACGTAATCACTTTTCTTTAGTATCTATCAAAACTTTTTTCTTTTACAAGGATTTTTGGTCTCAGATTTTTTATTATATGTATCTTTAATAAAAGAAATGTATTTTATATTAAAATAAATATATTACATAATAATAAACTTTTACCTTTATGATTTGATGCAATTTGCTGTCTTTTACTTCACTTTTATCACATCTTGTATGTAGAGTATTTTTAATATTTAATCATGTCTTTTATCACTAAAAAATTATTTCCTTCTTTATTAATTAAAGCACGAGTTGCTTCTGCCATATTAGTATTATTTCCATATTTGTCAAAATACAATGCTCCATTTTGGACATACAGTATTATTTATGCAATTATCCATATAGTCTTACAATATTTTGCCCATTATAGAAATACTTAGTTTCATCTAACTTTGAATAAATTAATTTACCTTTTGCATCAGCATTTAGTCTGAGGATTCAATTTCATTTAAAATGGATTCAACAGATTCTTGTGAAGTAACATTAATAATAGATTTGCTAACTTATATATTTCTTACATTAAATAGATTTCTATATTATAAATAAATTAGTACTTAATTTTTTTAATTAAATATAAATATTATAAAACAAATCACTAACCATTATATCTGAATTACAAAAGATAAAGATTTAGATAATTATGAAAATGAAAATATTAAAATTCTTTTAGAACAAGAACAATGTAATAAAATTCAGTATAATATAGTAAGATAAAATCTACTAACATATTTTTTTTAAGATCAATGTTCTGATTTTCAGTATTATTCTAATACACATCACATTACATACCCATATTCATGTAAACAGGACGGACATGCTTATTACAATATTAACTTAAACTACTTACAAAACTTAATCAATAATGCTTGGATTTGGTTAAAAAAAATTAAATATAAAAGTTAAAATAAGATAAATTTATAAATAAAATTTGAAGATACATTAATATCTGAAATTTTCAATTGGAGCAAAATTAATGGATCTATATATTATGTGATAAAATCGAATAATCGCATTAAAAATTGATGGCAGAAGATGAATATGTATAGCAGAAGGTTAAAACTTTACATAGATATTCTTTACATCATATATAATCTATGAAAAAAATAATACAATACTTGCTCTCATAATACAGGTTTTTTACTTGTAAAGATTTCAGCTAATTATAATATTTGCTTATTAAAAATTAAAAGGTTATTACTTATAAAAGTTAGCCAATAATGATTTGATTTGGATAAAAATCTATTTAATTTAAATTTGATATAAAATGAGACTTTTAGTAAATTTTGGTAATATTCTGATATATGAAATTTTTCAATGAAGTAAAAAAAAATATAATGATAAAATTGTGGATGATTGACAAATGATCGGTAAAATTGAAGTGATAAAATGAAGATGTTCGCCTTGTTATTCATATATACATGTTAAAAAAATCATAAGCCTAATGTTTGTGCAAACTAACTATTTATTAATTATTTACTTAATTTTAAAATAAAAATGGTTTCAGAAAATATTATTCACTATGAAGCATTTAATTTACTATGATCTCATTATTCCATTTTGTTTATTACTTAAATGTCTTAGAAAAACATGTAACTGGCCCTTAGTGCTAATCGTTATAATAAAATTAATCAACAATGCTTTCAGATTTGTCACCAAACATCTCATTAAAATTTCAAAGAACTGTATTGTCTTTAACTGATCTACTAATAATTTGATCTTAAATCGTTTTTTATGTAATTTTTTCTGTAACAAATATTTGCCATCATTAACTTTTAACTTCAAAATTATCTATTTAAATCAGCTTTACAGTTCACGACATAAATATCCGGAATTTTATCACAATATGTAAAAATATAATAAATTTTATTTTTTTTATTTCAAATTTATACCATTAATAGCTTAAGATGTGCAGATAAACATACTTTAAAAGTTAGTAATTTATCGTATAACCATTATTTTCTATGAACATGTTAATCCGATCTGACATGCTATCTGCTAAACTAAAGAAGAGATTTTTATCAATATTATCCCATTCTTGCTGAATTATGCCTTGAAAATCATTAGCACCAAGTGATTTTTTTTTCATAACCCAATTATTAACCCTTCTTTCTACATTTCCTTTAAGAATCGCCCATAAATTTTCGATGGGGTTCAAGTCAGGTGAGTTTGCAGGCCAATCAATAACCGGAACATTATTAATCACAAAAAATTGATGAGTAAGCTTTGCGGTATGCATTGGCGCATTGTCCTGCTGAAAATTCCATCCATAACCAGCATGATAAGCATTAGGAAGTAGTTGAGATTGAAGGATTTCACGGTATTTAGCAGAATTCATGTTTTCTGTAAATAATGCAACTCCAATTGGCCCTTGGCGGCAAAATGCACCCCAAACATGAACCTTATATGGATGTTTTACCATAGGATGTACTGGATGTGGGTTTCCAGCCTTGTAACGTACAATTTGAGTATTACGAAACGTCTGAAATGTACTTTCATCTGAAAAAATTGTGTGAGTCCAGTCATCTTGGATGTGATTTAAGGCCCATTGAAGACGAGCTTCAACATGACTTTCTTTAAGAAGAGGAACAGACCATGGTCTACAAACAATATAATTAAGTTTATTTTTAAGAGTACGTTATACAGTTCGGGTTGATACATTAAGATCTGGATACAAATTATTCAGCTTTGTTGTCATTAAAGCTGAAGTTGTTGCATTATCATTTTTAAGAAGATGGCCAAGATATCGACGTTTTTTTGGTGTCAGAACAAGAGGATGACCAGAAATGGGTAAGTGTTCAACACTTCCTGTTTTTTTTAGACGATTGATAATGTCATATACTGTAGACTTTGGAAAACCAGTCATTTTAATTATTTCAGAGGGTTTTCGTATATTATTATCCCATAGCTCCTTAACAGTCAACCTTTGCATTTCAAATACCGAAGTGGGTGCCATGATTTTATTTTGCTGCTAATAAACAATCAGGTGAGAATTTTTCACGCTATATTTATGTTTAAAAAGGGCTGATCAACTTCCATTTTAATTATTATTTTGGTTGCACAAGACTTGGTGTGACAGCACTCCTTTATGCATAAAAATAAAAATTCCGAATATTTATGTCGTAAACTGTACATGACAATGTTTAAAGTCAGAATATCCTTTTTTGCTAGGGTTAGTATACATTAACCTCATCTTCTAATAATAAATCTGAATCTTGCTGTAATTATCTTATTGAATAAATAAATAATCTAAAATAAAATTATCAATAATAAATAGTCTTAACATATTTGCAAAATAGCTTTTTCAATCTAATATTGCGATCCAATCTGTTATTTATTACTCATCTGAATATTTACCAAATACATCTGAATATACAAATAAATATTTTTTTAGCATATTTTTTTCATAATTTTGGCCAGAATATTGAAATTACCATATTTAGTCATTGTATAACTACTGGTTTCCTTTTTTGGAGGTCATCTAAAGTGGAGCAAATCATGTGATTTAGTGTAATTTTAATTAGATTAATTTTTTACAAAGAAAGATTAATAGAAACTTTAAAATCATAATATAGACGTATTTTTATCTGCTTTGCAAGTTTACTTAAGGAAAAAAGTGGATTTTGAATATTGTTTTTGACTTTACATATGATTGAACGAAACTTTACTAATCATATCCAAAAATGGATAACAAAATTGAAAAAGTCAAATAAATTAAAAACAGCATTTAAAACCCTACTTTGTGCTTGAAGTAAACTTGCAGAGTAGGCAAAAATGCATTTAAAATGTTTATTTAAAATAATTGAATATATGGTAAAAAGTTTTATTTTATAAAAACAATTTTTTTCTAAATTACATGATTTGCCCCGCTTTAGACGATCTCCTTTTTTGATAATACAGTACACATTTCACAAAAATTTGTTTCTATTTTTAAATATTATTAAATATAAAATATTGTATAATAATAATTACCAAAAAAAAAATTTTTATTATTGATTATTTAATTTCAGCCAGAATTATAATTGATAGTTTATACAAATTATCCAAATGATCCATTTTTCATATTCAGATTTATTTGTGATCTGACTGAAATTCTGATAGATGACTCGAATGAATTTTGAATCAGATAAATCTGCAAATTGATGGATTAACAGATCAACAGATCATCAGAAAATTTTTTAAGATGCAGAACTGCGGAAATCTGTAAAATTAGCAGATCTCCGTATTTTTTATATGAATTTATGTGGAAGTCTGCGATTTTGCAGATCTTCACTTTTTAATTTTTACAAAATTTTGCAATAATCTGCGATTTTGCAGATTTCTGCTTTTTTTTATGTGAATTTATGCAAAAGTCTGCGATTTTGCAGATTTCTACTTTTCTTTTTATGTAAATTTTTGCAGAAGTCTGCGATTTTGCAGATTTTCACTTTTATTTTTCATTGAAATATCAGTTCAATCT